CAGGCGTGATTCAGTGTACAACAGTTCTGAAGGTGATTTACCCTCATTTCGTTCGTTTTCATTGACACTAGCTAATTCCTTCGTTTATTATCAGGACGCAATGTTCGAGAACATGACTTTTGATGATTGGACCCAATCCACACAGTCCAAGATCCGCGGGACACTGAACTTGCACCATCTATTTTCGGAAATCGAAGGCTTGGGTTTCTTCATTGCCTTGTCTTCCGTGGCCAGTGTTATTGGTAATATGGGACAGGCTAACTATTCTGCGGGCAATGGTTTCATTGACGCTCTCATGGAATGGCGACGCAGTCACGGTCTCCCAGGTCATTCTATCAATATTGGCCTCGTTCCAGATGCTAGTGGACTTAGCGACATTGCCGAAGATCAAGAGCAACGCCGCCGCCGATACAAACATCTTGAGGGTACAGAAATCATGACCCATGAGCTCCAGACCTTGCTCAGAGTGATCATTAACAGCAAGCTTTCTCTTCCATCTCAAATAATTGCTGGCATGACCGATTATCTGTCTCGCAGCAATGGCTCCACAGCCTGGGTTCTCGATCGAAAGTTTGATCACCGGCTTTGCCTTGCTGCCGATGACACTGAGGACTCTATTCAGACTAGTGCCTTACTCAAGGGGTGTGACTCCCTTGACAATGCAACTGAGGTTGTCCTTAACGCTCTGAGTGAATATCTAGCAGATGCAATGGCTACAACTGCCGATGCTATCGACTCAGATCTACCATTGTCCGCGTTGGGTGGTATGTCTTTTGATGATTTTTCCCCACTGTGATTTTTGTCTTGACTAACACTGGCTTCTAGTTGATTCCCTGAAAGCTACAGCCGTTCAAAACTGGGTCTCTCGCGAACTGGGGGCAGAACTATCCTCCTTCGAGTTTCTTGGCTCGCAACCGACCAAGGCGTTAGCGAGGAAAATTGCTTCTACTAGTTCATTTGTCTCGGTGCCGAGCTGAAGGACTATCTGATAATCCATACTCGGTATGGATTAGCTTAGAACAACCTTTTCTTCACCCATCATGTTTCCTGTTTCAATCTTGGTTTATCAATTCTCATTTTTGGGTAGTTTCAATAGTTCGGTATATGTGTTTTTTACTTACAATACGGTGTTTTGCGTACGAAATATATGAAATATATGAAATTTTCCAATTTGCCAAGACCTGTAGCCCGTGCCGCAGGTGGGTCCCGTCATCAAACTCACATGTCAATCCATTCATCTTCATCCTTAGAGCAACCTCGCATATTTTATGGCGGATAGCTCCACTGTGCAGATTGCAGGACCAATGCAGCATGTAATGGCCGGGGTGAGAGTCGCCATTGCAATATAGTGAGGGGGACCAAGCACGATAAACAGCTTCGTCCACGGGTGGCTCCACTGAAGCCCATAGCCTTGACACATCGGGAACTGGATCGACACTTCGATCTGGTTGATCAACAGAAAGACCGAGTTTTCGATCCCGTGGAGCGGGCTGGCGTGGAAATTTCTGCTGTGCTATCTCGCGAAGACCCCTGCCCTGAACGATGACAAGGAACGTGGACTCCGTACGGAGTACGGAGTACCCGCGGACACGTTACCTTGTTAATAAACGGTTGAGCTGTGTGGTCTCCCTTGCTGCTGCATGGATGGTATAATATGTGCATGTCACTTGGGAAGTAAGGCGATAACCCCACTTGCCTACGGAGTGAGTAACTGTGTAGCTTTTACAAGTTCCACCGTCCATTCCGATTCTTTAAGAGTTGATTTTGCTTTCGGTGGTCTCGCAGATCTCAAATATAGGTTCTATGCTAGCTCAAGCGAAAGATCCACCTCGATTATGTATATACACTATGGTTGTCCGGACGGTATCGGGATCTACCAAGCCGGCAGGTCGGCGTCTGTCCAGTTACATCGGCCGAGATACTCCGAATTCAATCAAAATTCAACATGACCCTAAATGGAAAGGCTTCGAAGCAGCTACATTGAGGGGTAGTTTGTGGAGCTTGGGCTGGACCGTCCACGTTCCCACCGAGTCTAAGCAAGGCAAGCCACTATCGATATGCTACTCCGTACTTTGTACTCCATATGCCCATACAACATAGGGCATCTCCACACCGTGGAGCCTTTCATGGACCCAAGCAAGTCCACCAATATGTACTCTGCAAGGCCGGAACTGTATGAAGTGGGATTGCGCGGGTGACTTTCCTAGGAAAATCGGACTAAAATTTGTAAGGCGTCTTCTAGTCTTGCACATGAAAAAAGGGAATAAATGGAATAAACACTCTGTTATCGTCTTATAATCTCTCTCCCCCCTGCTCTCTCTTTCATCTTTTCATCTTTTCATCTTCAGCTATGACGGACGCTGAGAAGAACGATCTATGCATGCCGGTACCCCCGGCCAAGGCTATTGTCATAGACCATGACATGGCCATTACCCCAGATCCTGAAAAGTTTATTGGCAACTACTCTTCCAATGAGGTTCCATCCAATGGCCCCGATTCTCCCAATGTGGTTGACCTGGAGGCTCAGCCCACAGAGCCCCGACGAAAGCGCTTTGCGCACTTCAGATATGTCATGTTTACTGTGTATCGACGGCTTTTCACTGTGGTATTTTGCGCAAATCTCGCTGTATTTCTCTACGTGATGATCTCTGATCGGAAGCTTCTGGCACTTGTGAATGCAACAGCTGTCAATTTGGTGGCGTGCGGTCTCGCTCGACACCCGATGATGGTCAACGCCATCTATAGAGTGGTGTGCTCGATTCCTCGAACGGCACCTCTATCTTTGCGCCGCAGATGCGCTAAGGCAGCTCACTACGGTGGTGTTCACAGTGGCTGTGGGACTGCATCTCTGGTGTGGTATATTGGATTTGTTGCCATGGTGTCACAGATCTATTGGACAAATTCTCCCATCAGCACAGCAACGGATGCCAGTTTCTCAGCCGCGCCGATTGCCGTCGCCTACATCATTCTTGTCCTACTTGTCGTGATGGTAGTCGTGGCATACCCAACCTTCCGCAGGAGAATGCATGATTACTTCGAGCTTACCCACCGATTCACCTCATGGCTGATTCTGGCCCTTTTCGTGGCCTTAGTCATGTTATTCGCTCATGACGTGGGCAATGCAGAGCAGCAAACTCTTGGCTATACCCTCGTCACTCTTCCTGCATTTTGGCTGTTAATTGCGGCTGTCGTCGCCGTGGCCCATCCATGGCTACTATTACGAAGGGTTCCGGTAAAGGCCGAGCCCCTGTCTTCGCATGCTGTACGAATATCTTTTGATTTCACCCCGATCAACTTCGCAAAAGGTGTCCAGGTCTCAAAGCATCCTCTACGCGACTGGCACAGTTTTGCCGGCTTTCCAGACCCCATTCCAACCGGTGAAAAGCCATTTGTTAGGGGCCACAGGCATAAGAGAAGCTGGTCGATCGTGGTGTCAAAAGCAGGTGATTGGACGGCGGATACCATTCGTAAACCGCCAACTCATCTCTGGAAGCGCGGGGCGCTGATGCGTGGTGTCGGATACGGTCTGCGTGTCTTCGACCGCATTATCATAGTCACCACGGGGTCCGGGATAGGACCCTGCCTTGGGTTCCTAGGCGACGAAAACCGGCCCTTGATCAAGGTCATTTGGCAGACACGTAACCCGGTCAAGACTTATGGCCAGGATGTCATTGATCTCGTCCATAAGATGGGCCCTGACCCGATTATCTTCGATACCAGTCGTGATGGCCGTGTTGATATGCTTCCTGTCGTGCGACAGCAAGTGAAGGAATTCAAAGCGGAGGCAGTTTTTGTTATCAGCAACCCCAAAATGACTCAAGATATCGTTTACGAGTTTGAATCACAAGGGATTCCAGCCTACGGGCCAATTTTCGATTCATGATTCACGAAACACAATATATGTTGCCTTTTGATTTTATTCTAACCCAGTTATGATATACGTTTATGACCTACATATCGGTATTTTTCGAGCTATGAGCCTTTCATCTATTTGTTTATACGAGTCAAGTCTAGCAATAAAAATACCTAAGGAATCTCATGTGATGCCATGTCATCACATAGTTACATGTGCACAGGGAGCGCCTGATTTTGCAGGGTCGGTTCCTGAATATGCCTGGTGTCAGAACGAGAAATACACTAGTTATCCTTACTAAGTAAGGTGTGCACCTTTTTAGCCTAGTGGTAACATGCCGTGTTTTTTCATCCGACACCTGGGCTCTGCCTTATTTTAGGCTGGTAGAAATCAAAATACCTGAATTACCATGACAAGGTCAGTTCAAACAATAAAGCTATTCCCACCATACAAATTTCCTTATGTACTCATTTCTCGGCGTTGAAGCTATTCCTACCGTGCAAATTTCCGTATACAACTTCTCGGCGTTGAAGCTTTTGCACAAATTTCCATATACACCCGTTTTATACGGTCGGAGTCGGTTATTAACGCCCAGCTGATGATTTGTATGATCTGTTTGCAGTACATGGTATAGAGCGGTGTCAAAAGCGGCCAATAATTCAGGCATAAAACCTAGAAAAGCAGGCATTGAACCTTTGGCCGCTAACTATGCCCCTTCGCGTACACTATCCCAGTGGCAACGGATACAGACTTCACTCCTAGCTCCTAACCCTGTCCAAAGCGGCATTGCCACTGCTTGTCAGGACTATATATTTCAGGTGAGGTACGCCCACAACCATGGCGTGAGCCTTCTGCTAACAAATAACAGACCGATACATGCGACAGCATTGTGTCTGCAGAAGGCTTTTTGACCGAAGATCAATTCGTTGAATGGAATCCCGTCGTTGGGACGGACTGTTCCGGTATCGATAGAATGGATCATAGTATAAATTCAAGTAGCATAGGTCCTTTTGCCGATGAAGGGTCTAAGCCTTCGCACTTTCTACCCAGTAATCTGCCTTAAGCTTTAGGCACAACAAATCAAGTCAGTTCACCTCTTCAACCCCTAAAAGTAGGTAGCTCTCCTATCATATCTCTTATTCCTTCCCTACAAACCAAACGCAAGGCATACAGGATACAATGATTGGTCACACCACATAGTATCTGTAAGCTCCCACCTATCTTGACCAGGCTTTATTTGTTTGATTCTTTGGAAATAGTAATCCGGAACGCAAAGCTGCAGTCTTGTCCACTCTCGACCCTTTGATAGTCTGTCAAACGGCTTAAGGAACGTCCTCAGCCTCTCGTCGTCAAAGAAGATCTCGCCAATTTCGCTCGGTGGCATTTTAAGTTGTAGGCGTAGCCGATGTACACCACGGAAACTCTGCTCGAACAATCCGAAGAACGCGGCATACGTTGTCATCCAATCATCCTCGTCTGGCCCAGCTTTGCATATATTAACAGCAAACGAGATTTCCATAGACGTCATAAAAGAGGCACATCGCGGTGCCAAAAGCCTTGATATAAGAAAAGGAGTATCCATAGCATTGTCCATCACAAAGGTATTTGTCCCATAGAGAACATCTAAAGCTTCTTCGTATCTGCACGATGATAAGCCATTGTCCTGATATTATGAGCATAGTGACTTACCCGATTTGGCAGCATCTCAACCACTCCCCGCCAATTGTCGGCCTTTGCGACTCAGGGTGCCAATGTGAACAAGGGTCATCACAAGGGTCGTTGATGAAGTCATCACATTCCATACAGACACGATGCCACCAGTGCCAGCGAGGTCCTCCTCGTTTCGACCGCAGCCAAGATGGCAACGGCTCCATCCAGAAATATCGGATGTGCACTCGCCGACCACCCATAAGCTCAATGTATACCAACCTCCTTATCTCAGCCGGTAGACGAAAGAAGGAACACTGCTGTTGAGAGCTGCACTTTCGAGCGCCAAGCTTACATAGGCCTTTTTCTGGCTGGATCGGCAGTTTCCATCGATTGAATATATCGCCATTGATCTCACAGGTGGAATCTGAGATTCCTATTGCGTTTGGGGAACAATCTCTCAATTTGAACTTGGGCTCTTTTTTCCTGCGTTTGAAAAATTTGGTAAAAAAATTTGGTGCCATGAGGGTGGAGGGTGGAGTCTAGGAGTGTAGGAGAGTCGGGGTGTTGATTTTATATGTGCTTGGGTGTGGGTGAATGTCACCAGTGCGTGGTAAAACAGAAGTACTACCGCAAAATAGGAGGGGAATTAACCCACAAAGGGTTGGGATCGGTGTTTTTACCTAACAAAGAATCAAAGATCCTTGCAAGCGGGAAACCGTCATTCCATAGGCCGGGATCTTCATCTTGCTCTTTCTCCTTTAGTTCACAGGCTACCTCTTTTAGTCCTGATTTCCAATAGCAACGAGACAGCCCTCAATCGTGACAATAAGAATATTGTCGGAGGCATGTTTGGGACCAGTCTGATAACCAGCCCGATTTTGATGATTTCAAATTGCCTAAACATTATGGAAATGCCAAACATCGAGACCAGACCGATACTGAGACGAAAGAAACGAAAACGGGCGGCGGCCTCGACTCGTCATCGTGGAAGAGCTCGTGCTCGTTTTGAAGAACAACATGAATACACAAAGTGATGAATTAGGATCGGACAGAAAGAGGACCAATGCTAGATCAAAGAGATCCCCAGGAAGCTCAAAGAAAAGCCAATCGAAAGATGAAACGACCCATAACCTGGAAGAGAAATTGCAATGGCTTGAGATGAACATTCGCAAGGAGCGCTACCGCACCTCAGGCAGAGGGCTCATGTTGACATGCTACTGATATTGAGTCCGGTAGGGATTAGGAATACTGAACGCTGTTAGTAAATCGGTTTGGATATACTTCTCGGTGCTGCTGTACTAGCATGCCGTTTGTATCACGAACATGTAGTTCGACGAAACCGCTGACGAGTTTCGTGCGACGGACAAGTTTCTACCTTGTAATCATAATAGCCCGAATTGCGCTATTCCCGACGGCTAAGAAAGGTTCATATTATCAAGTGATTCCACGATTCGCTCTAACCCCACTCACTCACGGAAGATAGAAGAAGATCATGATCTAAGCGCAGGAAAAGATCAGGGTCTTATCGAAACTCAAGGGCTATAAGAATTCATTACATATGTCGATTGAGAGGAGCGTATGGTATCTTATTTATTCCCACTCGTACGTCAAGTTAGACTTCATCATAGGTAGTATCCGAGATAGCTGGGGGGAAAGACATCACTCCACTCGTCTTCACATTTTGTAATCTAAGACCCCTAGATCATCTCCTTTTTGAAGGCATTTCCCCTCTTCGCATTTGTTCGCCCACGCGCTTGTCCTGATTCTCTGCTGTCGTCCTTGTGGTCGTTTTCTTTCTCCTATTTCTTCTTTCCCTCTGGCTCGGTTCCCGCAATTTTGTTCAGAAGGAGCTGACAATTTTGGACGAATAGGTGGTGATGCAGTGGTGAAGATGGCAGTAATGCACCAGCGCCGCTTCGGTCGTTGCAATGTTGTTACCTGTCACCCTCCATCAATCCCCGATCATTTTTTTATAGTTATTTCGCGCTTGAGTTTAACGTAAGCTAGGGGAACACTAGTTAGCTAACTTCCGTCGCTCTGTCGCACGAATTCGAGTCTGGTTCGGTTTGGGATTCGAGACTGGCGTCGTATTGGGTCCTAGCCGCTATGTACTCAGGTAATCGTTGGGTTGAACGAGGCGGCGAGGTCAGGGCGAGGTCACATGGTCGAGTATTTTATCCATTATCATCATGTGATCATTGGATGACAAATCACACATAAAAGTGAATTGTCGGTTTTTGAAGCTACAATGTTGAATCATATCATGTGGTCGTACAGTGTACTGCATATGTCCATCATTGCATATTTATATGATTGAATGTGGTTCATTCCACCCATATCGCAGGTACGGCAGTCTCTAACCGCCAGTGCGCCATATCAGATGTTGCCTGTAGGGTTTGTTTTTAGGCACCCATGAGGCTAGCCAGGGCTTTTCCCAATCAAAACAAGATCATTGCGTACGGGATTTTTGGCAGCGAATGAAGTGCTTTTCCTGGCATTAGCGGGGTACACCAGGTGGGAGGCAAAACCCGCCCAGTGGGTGTATATAAATTGGTAGGTGTGCCCTTTCAAATGCCCATGATTCTACAAATAACATGCATTCAAGTCGACTAAGAAAACGCCGTGCAGAGAGATTGGAGACCATCCAGGACCTTGTCCCATCTCTACCTGCAGCCCCATTGACATCCCCGCTATTTACCGTTTTCCCCGCCGAGATCCGCAATCGCGTTTATACGTTCGCCCTTGAGTCCGAGGATGTTCTCACAGACGACAGTTCTCACTCCCTCTACAAGCAAAATGCTTTCTACTACCGACCCGGTTATAAGCAGCCCAAGCGCATCCAAACTGCCCTCCTCCAGACATGTCAGCAAATCTACGCTGAGGCGTCCCTCCTCCCACCGGCTGTAAATGAGCATACTTTCTGGTTTTATCGGTCTCCGCCGCATGTCAATGATGCCTCGTCACCGCTGAATTACTTTCGCAAGATGACCCCAAAACAGCGCGCTCAGGTGCAGCATTTGCACCTATTCACCCAACAGTATTTCCTAGAGGACAACCATTGGTCTCAGATATGGGAGGGGTTGAAGATAGGCGACGACGGGCGCAGTTTGCGAGGGGAGTGCAGGATTGCCCCGAAGAAGATGACCATCACCTTTCGCCACACGGACTGGTGGTACTGGGAGAACAATGACCCCCTGGGCATCGATCCGTTCCGGCCCGGGAGAACCCACGCCACCGATATGGGCAAGGCTGTTTCCCCGCACGACGCCGCTCGATCATGGGGGAACCAATTCAGCTCTATCCCCTGCCTTGAGGAATTGGTGATCGAGTTCGAGACCATCATGCGGAAGAGGGGCCAGCTAGATGACATCATACAACAAGCTCTCGAGTGGAAATTTCCTATGGAGGCTGACAAGGGCTTATATCTGGTGGCTGACCCCAAGTCAAAGAGCGCATATACTTGGGCTGGGGCGAAAGAGGCGGAGCTGAAAAGACAGAGACCTGTACGACCGGTCGATGCTGAGGCTGAGTCGGAATCTGCCCACGAACAGGAGCCGGTTCCTGCGGCTCCGGCTTTGGTGCCATATGATCCTCAGTCCGACTCGGGCACAAATAACCATCCCCCATCTGACACAGATACGGAGAAGTTCTATGTCGTCTTCTTGACTTGGAGGAAACAGCGTGTCCTGGAGTGAGCTACTCATCCCAACCTCAGTATGCACAAGGGATCTAGATTTTGTTCCTAAAATTCTGACACACAATACGATCCCACGAGGAATGTAAGATTGACACATTGTTAGATGGTTCATATGCATTTTCATCCTTTTGCTTCACATGTAAGGAATAATATCTCAGTGTTGGACATAGTAAAGTACTTCTAGCTTGCTGAACGGAGTACCCAACCTTTCAAGGTTTGAAGGTACAAATGAAGGGGATTGTTGCTCGCATCTCCCCCTGCCTGCATTTTCAGTACCGCCCTAAAGCAGACATCATGTTCCAGTGGTAATAACGACAGTATTATCGACAAAAGAAGGTAATAGCAAGTGTCAAGAATGGGATATGGCCCCTCTAGGCCTTAAACAAGAACCTTGGTTTTTGTTATGGTCTAGTGGTAAATTACGCTGTACGAAATTCGACAGAAAGAAATATGTGAAAATACAAAGTGTGAACCTCCACGGCATAGCTAGCACCTAAGGGTTAGTAAAGGTGTCATACAAGATTTGATGTATGTAGAACCCAAGGGGTTCTAGTATGCGCTCCAGAGGGTGGTCTGATGTTTGCTTTATCTGAGCTAATCCGGGGGAAGGACTGGAAGGATGAACTCCGGAAAATCGCGAGGAGAGAAAAGGAGATTTGAAAGAATCGGAGTAGAAATGTTTGCCCGTAGTCATCTGATGGCGCGTTTAGAAGCCAAGCCTGGATTTCGACAGCTCCATCCTAACGAAAGGACGTAGGGTAGTAGGGATGGTGTGGTTATTGAAGGCAAGAAAGATGTCCTTATATATAAACTAGATAGAATAGATACGAAAAAATCAATTTAGCAAACAGTCAAATCCTGGAATGGACCTGATTCACCAACTGCGCAACAGTGTCGACTATCTCATCCAGCAAAGACACAGCAAAGTCCGACCACGACTCAACAGTGACAACTTCGATGCACAACGTATCCCCCTTAGGGAATGCTTGCACCTTGATTTCCCGCAACGGCTCGAAGTGCGGGTAGATGGTCTGCATACGACTACTAGCCGCCATGAAAGACAAACCCTCAACATGCTCAACATCCTGGTGCACGACCGAATCAAACCAATCAACCGTCTCCGGCCAGTCGGTACAGTCTCTGATAATTTCCTTAAGACCGATTCCTTCGAATTGCGCGCTCTCGAGATGTTGTCGCTGGACAAACCGCAAAAGATCTATGGCACTCCATCCATCTGCGAACTTCACCCGCACTGGCACATACTGCCATGATGGTCCAACAACCGCGTCAGCGTTGGGGAGGTCAATGTTGCGGCCACTCACCACCTCGCCAAAAGTGACATCATCAAGGGAGAGTCGTCGCGCGAGGCACAGCGCCCAAGCCGCTGTCGGTAGGGTTGCGACTGTGATTTCCCGTGGTCGCGCGGCTATATTGACATCCTTGGAGATGGCAAAATGAGCTGCAGACACCACAGGGATATCGGGTTGGATCCGTGTCATAGACGATCCTTGAAGGAGATCACGCCAGTACGGAATGCTGACTGGCAGATTAGTGCGAGTCACGTGGCCGACATACGACGAGAATGGCAGACTCTTCGGCACTGGTCGTCCCTCGTACAATGCCGATAGCTGCTGCAGCAAAATTGGAAGACAGATCTCATCATACTGGGCATGAGAGATGCGCATGATCAGGCTGCTGGGCCCGTCAACATGCCGAACGAAGAGAAATTTCAAAAATGGTGATCCGAGGGGAATGCGTGACTGAACATCCACATCGCAGAGTTTCTGGCTGAACGCCTCCACGTCACTTTCAATCTCATATTCAATTATCTGGCAGGGAAGGTCATCGACAACCACTCCCAACGAGATACCCTCATGCTCCACGAACACAGTTCGAAGGATCTCATTCCGAGAGACAAGTTCCTGGCAGCTTTGGAACAGTTGAGTGCGATCCACCACGGTATCCATGTAGAAAAGTTCGTATCGCATGGAATAACGAGGCAGCTGGACAGTTCCCTGGACGGCAATTTCCTGGAGCGGGCGACTTGGATAGGCATCCACAATCTTCCACTCGGGCTGGGCAAGCAATGGGGTCATCTTGCTGATGAAGGCGTCCACATCGGTCAGATCTAGTGAGCTGAATGGCGCGTATTCCCGCGATGTAACAACTGATGGTTGAGCTTCCACTGCGTGTTCGGCCATGTCAAAGAGAGACCGGTGATCGAAGATTATGGTTACAGTTAGCTCAAGGCCATCCATACGAGCCTCCGAGACCAGCTTCATAGCACGAATGGAGTCACCTCCCAAATCGAAGAAGCTGTCATCCAAAAGGATATCCTCGCAGGGAATGTCCAAGACCTGGCTCCAGACCCGTTGGAGCTTTTGCTGCGTGACCGTCGTGATGGCTGCACGACCATTAAGGTTTCTGTTTCGGGGTTTGAGTTGACCGACTTGCGCGTCCTTTGCGCGAATAATAATCACAGAGCCGTCACTGGTATATTTCCCGAGCTGGTTTGTCGTGTACAGCTTTGTTGGCTGCTTGAACCAGGATGGATTGGCAACTGGGTTGCCGGAAGCCAGTTCATCTTCGCTTTCAACGAGCAGCTCACCCACCCCACCAGGTGGAACAAGAGACTCATGATCATTTGGATTAACAATCCAAGTTGATGTGACAGGTGAGTAAAGATCCCCCGCAGGGAGGCTCGCCGGGCCAATCTTGGCGAGACGGCATTGTTCTGGAACATCTGTCTCAATTGTCGAATCGTAAATGTGCTGGATTCGCTGAGTCGGATCCTCGAGGATCTGCTGCACCAGCCGATCAAACTGTTCGAGCGCTTGCTCCATCTGCGGGACATCTATGGTTTTCGAGTCGAAGCTGGCCATGACAAGGAACCCTTTTGGATCAACGGTGAAGACGAGCATAAGGGCGTATGAATTGAATTTCAACGCTTCACGGGCGGCCTCTGCCTCGCTGGTTGGAACAAATGCGGTGGCTGGTTCTTCTTCCGAAGAGGATACGCTCTCCTCGACCGTTGGGTGAATTACAATGCCTGTGCGTAATTCACACGCCTCTCGAGCATCGGCGTTCAAACGTCGAATGTGCTGCAGACCCATGTGTTCGTGAGGAATGCGATCTACCGTTTGATCATGAATCTGCTGAAGATAGCTTGATGCTCGAGCCTTGCGATCGATACAGACTCGAACCGGGACAGTGGTGATCATTGGGCCATCGATCTCCTCTACTGCTGCCACGGGAGCTGTGCGACCGGTCATAGTCTCTCCAAACACGACGTCATCAGAGGATGTGTAGTACGCGGCTAAAAGACTCCAAGCACCTCGAATAAGGGTTGCAATGCTCGTTGTGGAGCTCGACGAAGCCCGAGGCAGCTTGACGTAATGTTCCAGTAGAGAATCCGCACGCGCTTGATACCCAGTATATGGAATGAGAGGGAATTGTAACGCGGTAGCGCCCTCGAGTTGAGTTGCCCAATATGTCTCTGTGGAGGCTCGATCAGTGTCATTAAGCCATCTGATGAAGTTCTTGAACGGTGCTGGGCTGCCGATACTCTCACCACGATAGGCGCGATTCACTCGGTCAACTATCAATGGCATTGACCACCCATCATAAAGGGCATGGTGAATGCTCAGGACGATGTAGATTTTGCCGGTCGCTTCATCGTCCACAATGGCGAAACGAGCAAGCTCAGTTCCCAGAGACATCCCCTTGAGTGTATCGCTACTGAGATACTCCGCCAAGTTGGAGCTACTGAGCCATGGAGTGTTGGTCCGTACGACGGTCTGCATCAAACCCCGGCGTGGGACTTGGACAATCCTTGTTCGTAGGATCGCGGAGTCTACCGAGACACTCTCGAAAGCAGACTGTAGTCGTGTGGCGGTTTGAACATCCTGGAGCTCAATGACTCTCTGCGCAACATAGGCATCTGTATACTTCGCGGAGAGAGCCATGAGGGCTTCTTGGAGAGGTGTGCAGGGATATACATCAGCCACCTCTTCAGGATGCAAGTTGCACAGCGAAGCCACTTCAACCCGCGCAGCGTCGGCTTCCCAGTGTGCTGGAAGTAGCGAAAATGGGGGAACCTCCACTGGAGCTTTGTTCTCAACCTGTTTCACTTTGAGGGCTAGATGCTCAAGAATAGGCGATTGGAAAATATCAGTGACTTGAATAGCAAGAAGCTGCTCTCGCGCAGCAGCTACCAACTTCATGGCTTTCAATGAGTCACCTCCGAGGCTGAAGAAGTGGTCGTTGACCCCGATCTCTGCCTCATCACCAAATATCTTCAACCATAGGCCGTGGAGCTTGCGCTCCATCTCTGTCCGGGGTGTTAATTTGACAACTGTGGACAATCTAAGCTCTGCAATATGTCGCCTTGTCAGGCCGTTCCCGAGAGCACGCAGCTGCTTCCGGTCTGTCTTGAGCGACACTAAAAGTGGCATGTGATTGAGTGGTATATATGCGGTGGGGATCATATACCGGGGCAGGTTTGAGGCGAGAACATCGTCAATACCAGCGATCAGCTTTTGGAATGAACTTGAAAATGAGATGATCTCGCTGATTGTGCCCGTCTTATCACTCTTTTCCTCTGCCACAAAGACAATCAATGTGGCATCGGCTTTCTTCCCCCCAGGAAAGATCACTTCCGCTGCGACACTTGCTCCAGCGGGGAAGTAATTTCGGACGTGGTGCTCGATTTCGCCCAGTTCCACGCGCTGGCCGCGCAGTTTCACCTGTTGATCGGCACGGCCGATGAAAACAACACTGCCTGAGGCATCAGGGTCATATCTTACCAGGTCACCGGTCTTGTAGAGACGACCCTTGCGACCTGGCACATCTCCCCCACCCTCAAGCAACCATGCCGGGTCCTCGATGAAAACCTCGGCGGTTTTCTCTGGATTATTGAGGTATCCATCACCGACCACGGGGCCTTCGACAAGCAGTTCTCCTACGGCGCCGATGGGCATCAATCGGTCGTGGTTGGATGGATCTACCACCCATGTTGTGCCTCCGACTCCCTGTCCGATACTGGTGTACGATCGACCGGGAGGGATGTCGTTGTTGATTGTGCAACCAACAGTGCACTCCGATGGTCCATATGCGATCACGACCTTCGTCTTCTGACCCCATTCGGCCGCATCGCTAGCAGAGATTGACTCACCACCAAGGCCAATGACCTCCAGCGATGGCATGATATCAGGAGCCAAGACACGTGCAACCGATGGTGTCATGTGCGCCATGTTTACATTCAATCCGCGAATGGCGTCGCTGAGGTCGTTGACTCGTTGGTCTTCTGAGGGCACACAAATGCAGCCTCCGTTGGCCAAAGTGCACAGCATGCAGTCAACACTGACATCGAATGCATACGAGGGGAAGTCGAGCACTCGCGAGTGCTCTTTGTATCCCACAGCTGCGGCGCGAGGTACTGCACCACTAGTGTAGTTGGAGTGAGAAATGACTACACCCTTAGGCTTGCCAGTACTACCGGAGGTGAACTGGATGTAAAGGGTTGACGACGCTGGGACCACAGGTAGGTCTACCGAGAGTGATTTCAATTTGTCTTCGTCGACCAGCGGGCCAACAATAACTTGCTTTCCTCCTGGGACAATGCGCGATCCTAGTTCCGCCTGCAACTCCGAGGTCAAGATAAACTCAGCCTCAACCTCGCTAGCGATAGTGCTCAGTCGTCCCTCGGGCTGACTAGGATCCATGAGAACCAATGCACCGCCAGCCTTCATCACTGCGAGGACACCGACAATTGTCCACATGGACTTTTCAAAGCACAGTGGAACAGCCTTGCCAATTTGCAGTCCGAGATCAACTAGATATCTGGCTAGGTTTGTTGAGCGCTCTTCTAGCTGTCCATAGGTCATCTCTCCATCCCAAGATACGACTGCAGGACGATCGAGTTGACTTTGAGCTTTTTCACTGATTATATCTTGGATGCAATGATCGATAGTTGGGGCCATTAGCCCGTTCCACTTCCATAACTGTGACAGCTCTCGCCGTCCAATCCGAATGGCCTTAGCCACGGGCTTATCGAGGTCACTGGCGATAGAAATAATGAGGTCGGCGAAGATATCAGGTAGGATGGCTTCGACAGGCTGCGTGGCTGTCGGGGACCGCGGAGTCCCGCGAACATACACAACACCATCCGAGAGCTTTGCTTCCAGAGCAAATGTCCACTAATCAAGTTAACAACTGATCACAGTTATGATTTTAGATCTACTTACTTTACTCTCAAGGGAGGCATTTCGACATAAGAGTGTATCCGAAAATTCTCCGTCGAATTTGCCCCGCCTTCGAATTGCATCCAAGGCAGTTCTCAGCGAGCTGTCTTCCCCCTCAATCACATCGGAGATGAGACCTCCTTGGAGACTGCCCTCGCTTACCCAAGAAAAGCCTCCATCTTCACTGCTCACTGTTCCCCGAAAGAGAAGGAGGATCCAAGCCAGCGCGAAAAGTTCCTCGTGTCTTATATCCGGCAGCATTGGTAGGGCCATACAGTCGGACCAGCCAACATCCTGTGGCTTCAACTCTTCGCTGACCCAAGGGGTCGCACTGGGCTCGATGTATTCACCCATATCCTTGGAAAATAGTAATATCAAGAAAGTGTCTCTAGGGCTTTTCCGGGGACTACGAAGCAACGATCTGATTAAATTATCTGATGCTGATCTTCAGTGACGGACTTGGCATCCTGCGAGAAACCCCGTGCCTGCAGAACAGGGCCACAACGGGTAGAAACAATCCGAGCAGGTGCCGAACGTTCATTGCCAATATTGCAATGGAGCCCGTTAGAGTGGGGATACGTATGTATCTGAGCCCATGTATGGTTATAACGCAAATTACTCTCCATACTATACCATACTATACCATACCATACCATACCATACACTAACGCCAAGGGTCTACGCTAAGCACTGCCACCCTGGACCCACCTTGGCACTAAAAACCTTACTGCAGAGCCATGGCAGTCATATTCGAAACTTTCGATATTTTCTTTGGTGGAAGATTGTCATCAATATGACGATCCTCTTCAATGTTACCGTTTTCGCAAGTTTCCACCTCGATCGATTACGTTGACTGCGACATCGGATATCCGTCGATTCATTGCATTGGTGATTTTTGAACCAGCCTTGGAAATTCTCGTCTCAAGCATGTATGGGAGGCTGGATCGACTTCCCCTGTTGTTACTAGTCTGCGCCAATTAGCAATACTGAGATACACGGATGGTCCCTTTGTAGCAGCCAAGGGCTCTGGTGGACATAGACAAGGGTGATCAATTCCCTACATCGCATAGAGAAATTCCCCGAGCCGGAATAAACCGAGGATGAGGTGGTCAATGCCGACATTGTATATCTGATTACTTATTCCCTCGTGCCTCTCCTCTGAGTTAGTAGCATCGTCACGTCATGTCTTTGAGTTCTCTCCCCCTGGTGCGGCTACCGGAGCCATACAAGACAACCTACGAATTGCATGTCGTATCCACCGAGAAAAACCTCCGCAAGTTTCAGCTACTGAGATCCCCTCGCGGGGATGAAGGCATACCACCCCCAAAGCCATTGGACCATGCGTCGTTGAGGTTCACAGATTTGTCCCAGCCCGATTCTTCTTCCACACCAGACGAAGGAAACAACTCACCCTGGGCTCGCGCACAGAGAAGTCCAGTTACCTATATCGCATGGGAAAGCTCGGAGGCACCAACAGTGGGCCAGATCTGGAATGTGGTCTATGCCATTGAGACCCTGCGTAGCGAGTTCGAGATATTCCGTGCCGTACTGTCTGGCCGTGGGAGTGATATACTTGCACACGAGCTACAGGCCGTGGGTTTGGCAATTGCGCACCCCGAACCATCTGCTGCACCAGGGAAGCCCATCCCAGTCACCACTAGTCATCTCGGACAGCTGGTATTTTCCCGCAGTAGCTTCTGGCAAGGAGCTGGCTCACCCTTCGGTACCCGTCCAGCCTGGGTGGCTGACCCGGGCATTTACAGCTATATGCGAAAGCCGTTGAGCAACTACCCTTCCCGACCGCGCCAACACACAGTCACCACCGGTTTCCCCGAGCGTCGAGTACATGCCCTTCACCCGGTACGGCCACCAAAGCCATCCCCCGGCTCTCGCATTTACAGTCGCTACATTCCACACTTGAACGAGTTTTTCTCAGTCTATGCGCTAGACTACACAAACGACGAACATCTGGGGCTTTTCAATAAGTGGCAGAATGACCCTCGAGTGGCTCAGGGGTGGAACGAGACTGGTACTTTGGACCAACATCGTGAATACTTGCGCAAAATTCAGGAGGATCCCCATCAGATCGCTGTGCTGGCCAAGTTCAACGACACTTTCTTTTCCTATCATGAGATATACTGGACAAAGGTATGGTTTCTATTTTCTCCAGCAACCCGACCATAGCTAAATTAAATTACAGGAGGACCATCTTGGTGCGTATTACGATGCTGGTGACTGGGACAGAGGCCGCCATTCGCTGGTCGGCGATGAGCGTTTCCGGGGCCCGCACCGCACGATTGCGTGGTGGTCTGGATTGATGCATTACATCTTCCTGGATGATCCACGTACGGAGTTTGTGACTGGAGAGCCAAAATACTCGAATCTCGCCCCTCTGACCTACGACCATGCTACGGGCATGAACCTAGCCAAGCTGGTCGATCTGCCACATAAACGGTCGGCGCTCATCCTTGGTAGCAGGGAAAAATTCTTCCATGTAGCACCCCTACGATTTGACGGGTCTGATACTCTCGATCGCAATCCATTCCGCTCATTGAAGTTGTGATAGTTGGAAAATGTGAAATATGATGTGATTGTATTATGCATATTATGGACTCGTGAGCAAGACTTCAGACGTATACCGACGTAGATTCGTACGTAACCCATTAGTCCACAATTACCTAGTTAGGTAGCAATGAAGCCAAGCAGATCTATTCACGACAGTAAACAAAGCGTAATCTAATCAGATTCGGGATGTCCCCGGGACCCCTGGGACCCGATGTTTTGAGTTTGACAGTTGTAATTTTCCCCACTTACCCTAAAAGGTAAAAATCCGCAACAGCAGCCAAGCAGGTCTCCGGGGTTAACATTCCGGAATAGAACACATATTGAGATCGGCATATCCTTAGAAATTGGCAAACCTTCCCAAGAGAAGCCTTTGCTCGGACGAAGGGCATACGGCATTCTCGGCCCAACCCCAAGCCCACCCCAGGCCCACCCCCAAGAACCTCCAAGCCCAAAACAAAAAAAACAACAAATACATACTCTTGGCTCTTGCCGGTTTTATTTACTAGTCGATCTGATAAAGGGTTCAATATTACGTATTGTCCGACGTCGGCTTTTCACTGTAAATTCTTGGTAATCGAGTCATTCGACGAGTGGAGTGCATGGATTTCTGCCACTGCATTTACTTTCGGGATAAAATAGCAAATGATCTTCCTAATGTTCGCATCTATTCACGCCGATAGATAAATTTTTATTATGGCTGCCGAAGATGCACCAGCGCAGAAGCGCAGCGTATGTCACCCCTAGATGCTTAGGATTCTCAAGCTAATATCGTTACAGTGGAGGGAGAAAGCTGTCTTCTTTCGCCTGTTTGTCTATGGCGAGCCTAGCACATCAGATATCGCCCTCCTTATCCTGGGCCTTGTCTCCGCAATTGCTTCCGGAATTCCTTTTCCGATCATGTCGATTGTGTTTGGTCAATTGGTGGATGAGATGAACTCGACGACCTGCAACGCCAACGACACCAATAGCAACTCATACCAAGATAGTATTAACAAGAAAGTCTTGTTGATTGTCTACATCGGCATTGCCTACCTCTTTTTGATATATATTTATGTGTTTAGCTGGAATCTGACTGGCGAGCGACTGGCTCAGCGTCTGCGTGAAAAATATTTCAAAGCCCTTCTCCGCCAAGATGTGGCCTTCTTCGACAATCTCCCAGCTGGCGAGGCATCTTCGAGAATTACCGGTGATATTACCACCGTGCAGCAGGGAACATCTGAAAAGGTCGGAATCGTGATCAACAGTCTTGCCTTTTTCGTCACCGCGTACGTCGTGGCTTTCATCAAGGATCCCAAGTTGGCTGGAATGTTGGTCTCCTTGACTCCCGCCTACTTGATCATGTCTCTGTTAGGAGGATATTTTGTGCAAAAGTACTTTGGTCGCGCACTGGAAAGCATGACCAAGGCATCCTCAGTGGCACTGGAGGCATTTTCCAACACGATGGTTGTTCATGCTTTCTCGGCCAACGCGCGGCTCGAGGAGAAGTTTATCGAGTTTTTGAACCCGTCCAGGATTGCTGGAATTCGCAAATCAATTGCCGCGGCCACCCAGGCTGGTTTGCTTTACTTTATTGCTTTCTCGGCCAATGCACTCGCCTTCTGGCAGGGGTCAAGGCAGATTGCGGACTCGGTAGAGTCCGATGCTGGTGGCATCACCGTCGGGGCAACATATACTGTGATTTTTATTCTAGTCGATGGTAAGCATCTCTATCCGTGAATTTGGTTGACCACTCGCTGACTACTTCTATCTATCAGCGTCCTTGATCCTCAGCACAGTCGCACCTTTCATCCAAAGCTTCGACGCTGCTTCGGTTGCCTTTTCAAAATTGAAGGCTGATATAGAGCACTCATCCACAATTGATGGCACTTCAAAGGATGGAGAAGTATTGTCGGAGATCAAGGGCCATATTGAGCTGCGCGACGTTTCATTCCGGTTCCCTTCTCGCCCAGATAAACCAGTCCTTCAGAATCTATCCCTTTCCTGCCCTGCCGGTCAACAAACTGCCATCGTCGGCTTGTCTGGGAGTGGAAAATCCACCGTTGCTGGGCTAGCAACAAGATTCTACGATGCGACCGAAGGAACCGTTTTATTGGATGGACATGATGTCAAAGACCTGAATGTACGTGCATTGAGGAGCTATATCAGTCTTGTCCAGCAAGAGCCTTGTCTTCTCGATCGATCAATTTTTGAGAACATTGCCATGGGCCTGATCAATTCCCCTGCACACACTCATCTTCAACCGATTCTGACTGGCACCGCGCTGGTTGAAATTGCTGCCGCTGCAAGGGAGGGGCAATCTCTTGCTTCCGCCGCTCTTGAACACGGTGATCAGGCACAAGAGGTGGTAAGACTGGTCGAAGATGCTTCCAAACTGGCCGATGCCAACAAGTTTATTGAAAAGCTCCAAGAAGGTTACGGTACTTCAGTTGGTTCCAGCGGGAACCTGATCAGTGGCGGACAGAAGCAACGTATCTCTTTGGCCCGGGCCTTGGTGAAAGACCCCCGAATCCTCATCCTCGATGAAGCCACAGCATCTTTGGACTCGGCGACAGAAATGCGCATTCAGAGAGCCTTGGATACCGTGGCCGTGGGGCGAACTGTTATTACCATTGCGCATCGTCTATCTACCATCAGAAACGCGGACAATATCATCGTCATGAGACAAGGAAAGCTTGTTGAACAAGGCACTCATACGGAGCTACAGGCAGCCAATGGTGCTTACGCAGAGCTGATTCGCCTTCAGAATCTCAATGTTGACAACGCTCAAGAGGGAACATCCACCCGATCGGTGTCGCCTGTCAATCAAATCACAGAAAAGGTTGAACCCTGTCTTTCCGTGGCCGATGAAATCCCCGATAAAGATGAGACGATCGATACTTCTGTTGCCCAAGACTCCAAGTCGAAAGAAACCGGCGGTGTTGTCGACTCACACAGGTCATTTTCCTCAACAGTCAGCTCCCTAGGCTCTATGTTCCGACCGTATGCATTTGTTCTGTTCCCCGCCGTGACCGGCGCCGTTGTCATTGGCGGCACATACTGTGCTTCGGCAGTGATCTTTGGTAATGTCGTGAGTAAGTTGAGTGGCTGTGAGGAGCCTCAGAATATCCGCGATGCTGGAGAGTTCTATGGGCTTATGTTCTTTGTCCTCGCCATCATTGAATTCTTTGCAAATTTGGTGAGCTGGTCTCTCTTCGGTTGGATGGCAGAGAATGTGATCTACAAAGTGCGAGTTCTTTCACTGCGATCTATCCTCGAGCAAGACCTCCAATGGCACGAATCCAATGACCGCAACCCCTCTTTGCTGCTTTCCTTGATCACGAAGGACAGCAACGCTCTTGCAGGTCTGACTGGCTCCGTTGTGTGTACAATGTTGTCTATTCTCATCAACCTATTCGCCGCTATCATTATGTCGCACATTATCGCTTGGCGCATTGCCCTTGTCTGTCTTGCCGTGGTACCTTTGCTGCTGGCCGCTGGCTGGATGCGCGTTACCTCACTAGCACAGTTTGAAGAGCGCCACTTGGAGGCTTTTGCTCGGTCCGTGGGAATTACCGTGGAGGCTGTCAACTCTATCAAGACTGTCATGTCTCTCTCTGTGGAAGAAGAGATTATGGGAACATACCGTCGTTCGTTGGCGGCACCCATGAAAGAGATAACCCGCCAAAGTGCCTGGGCCAATATCTGGCTTGCCATCGGGTACGGTCTCAGCAACTTCCTATACAGCCTGGCATATTGGTGGGGAGCGAAAAACATCATTGCAGGATATTATTCTCAGACACAGTTCTTCATCGTCCAGCTAGCGCTGCTTGTCAGCTCACAGCTGTGGGGACAGATGTTTGCCCTAGCCCCCGATGTCTCGCGAGCCTTCCAGGCCACCCGCCGATTGTTAAATTTGCTAGACCTTGGAACCACGAAGAAACTGTCAGCCCCTATCCGAACACTGCCTAGCAAGCTTTTGCAGTCGACGAGTGACGTCGAGTCCACGGCTGTCACCCGCGAGAAGGTCGACGACACTCGCAATGGCATCAGTGTCTCCTTCAAACAGGTCCGTTTTGCGTATCCCGCACGGCCAGATGCCCTTGTGCTTCATGGTTTGGATCTGAATGTCAAGCCGGGTCAGTTTGCCGCTTTGGTCGGACCTAGTGGTGCTGGAAAATCCACCATCATTTCACTTGTCGAGCGCCTCTATTCCCCCGCATCAGGCACCATTCATGTTGATGGCCGAGACGTTGCCTACGGTGACATTTCCTTCCGTGACTCCATTGCATATGTACCACAACAAAGTATTTTGTTCGAAGGAACTATTCGCTTCAATCTTGCTCTTGGCGCACGACCTGGCCACGAAGTTACGCAAGAGGAGTTGGACGAAGCTTGCCAATTAGCCAATATTTACGACGTCATCGCGCAGCTTCCGGATGGATACGATACACACTGCGGGCCAAATGGTGATCGCCTGTCCGGAGGTCAGAAGCAGCGGCTGGCTATTGCACGGGCGCTGATCCGAAAGCCGAAGCTGTTGCTCCTAGACGAGTCGACCAGTGCTTTGGATGCTGAGTCTGAGCGATTGCTTCAGGATGGATTGGAGAAGGCAACCAAGAACATGACAGTGATAGCGATTGCTCATCGTTTGTACACGATTCGTAAGGCGGACGTTATTTTCCTGATTGAGGACGGGCGTTGTGTTGAGCAAGGCACTCACGCCCAGCTGGTCGAGCGGAGCGAGACCTACAGGGTCAATGCCTTGAACCAGACAGTGGATGGTGAATAAGAAAAGGTAGATAGCTGGGGTTCTCTTCTTGTTTTGTTGATATAGATCTATATTGTTTAATCTCAGTTCACAAGAAGGACAGGTACAAAACTGGAGGACAGGGCACACAGATAGTTTTCCTTTTTCTTTCACTCTTTTGTACTTGGTATTTGGATTGAAATGCACTCTTTTCTTCTAAATCGATCTGACAGGTAACACTATATATCGTTTCGTGACTTTTCTATCGGCTT